TTATAGCAACTCTAGGTTTGAATTTGTTCTTCAGTTCCTTGAGCTTAAGAAATGCTGAGCAAGTTTGGCCCTTTTGATTTTACGACTCTAGCTCCTCCAGAATTCCTTGTAATATTTTAAAATTAATTTTAATGAAAGTTTACAGAGACTTAGGGTTTCTAGTCATTCATTGTTGCACTTTTCTCCTGACCCACCCACTCCTCCCCCCCAATTCACTCTTCTGTCCAAGTCCACTATGCAAGTCCACTCCACTCTGGACTTCTGTAATGACAAGAATATCCATTCATATATACCTTTCAAACAGTTCTCTCATCTGTTTCAATGCAATATATATCATTCCTCCCGTCCTTTTCTGTCTTCCCTCAACTCTGATGCCAGTCCCATTTTACAACAGTGACCCTATGCAGTGGCCCTTGTCCTTTTGTGACAGATATTTCACTCAGCATAATGTCCTCCAGGGTCATCCATTTTGCATATATTTCATGAGTTCCTTGTTTTGTTTTTTAAGTGGAAAGCAGCGTTTAACATGTACACTGCTTTTCGTCAAATGTAATACTGGACTTCATACACCATGTGTAAGGCACGGTGTGAGAACACTGCTCCCACTCCCAGCCCGGGAAGAGGCCAGCGGATTTTGCCACAACACACAGGTAATGGACCACTACTGATCGATCACTTCTTTATTTTGAGCTGGTTGGAGAGCCAGTCCAGGCCTTCATAAAGCCCATCTCCACTGGTGGCACATGTAGCCTGGATGTACCAGTTTCTCTGGCGGAGGGAATGGAGGCCAAGCTTGTCTGTTATCTCTGCTGCATTCATAGCATAGGGGAGGTCCTGTTAAATACCAACAAAACTGCATCTCTGAGCTCGTCTTCTGCTAACATTCTTGTTAGCTCTTCTCGGGCCTCATTGACCTGCTCTCAGTCATTACTGTCATCCACAAAAATCAGACCTTGGGTATTTTGGAAATAATGTTGCCACAAAGGCCTGATTTTGTCCTGGCCGCCAACATTCCAGACAGTGAAGCTGATATTTCTATATTCTACTGTCTCCACATTGAAACCTATTGTGGGGATCGTGGTCACAATCTCTCCCAGCTTCAGTTTATACAGGATGGTGGTTTTTCTGGCTGCATCCAAACCCACCATAAGGATTCACATCTCTTTTTTTCCAAATAGACTCTGAAAAAGCTTTTCAAAAATGTTCACCATTGTAACTGAATTGTTACCTGTCCCCGCTCTGAGCCCACAATTAGGTTAGATCATAAATACTGCAGCCCTTAGGATTTCGGTTCTTCTCAGCAAAATGGTGATCAAATTCCTTGTTTTTCAGTGCTGCATAGTATTCCATTGTGGGAATTGAATATACCTGAGCTTCTCTATCCATTTTTTTGTTGATGGGCACTTGGGTTGTTTCTAGCCCTTTGCTATTGCATACAAAGCCACAATAAAAATGGGTGTGCATATATCTGCTCGGGTGGCAGTTATGGTTTCTTTAGGGTGAATTCTCAGTATTGGAATTGCTGGGTCAAATGATATCTCTATTTGCAACTTTTTGAGAAAGCGCCATGCAGCCTTCCATAGTGTTCACACCATTTTACATTCCCACTAACAGTGAATAAGGGTTCCAGTTTCTCCACAACCTCGCCAGCATTTGATATTTGCTGTTCTGCTACATTTTGCTATTCTTACTGGGGTGAGATGATATCTCATAGTTGTTTTGATTTGCATCTCTCTTACAGCTAAGGATTTTGAACATTTCTTCATGTTTTGGCTTGCCATCTGAATGTCTTCTTTGGTGAAGTATCTGTTCATATCCTGTTCCCATTTTCAAATTGTGTTATTTACCTTTATCTTGTTGTGGTGCTCGAGTATTTTATAAATTCTAGATAAAAGTCCCTTGTCTGACATGTCATTACCAAATATTTTTCCCCAATTTGTGGCTTCCCTTTTTACTCTGTTGGACAAGTTTTTGGATGTGCATAGAGATTTGATTCTTAGAAGGCCCCATTCATCTATTTTATTATCTTCTGGTTGTAGATCCAAATACCTTTTATCTGTATAAGGGGTTATGCATACTATGCCTGGTGACATAGACCTTAATATGTCAGGCTACTAACAAAAAGTCTACTGATTCAAATTGACTATCTGTTCTTGAGGGAGCTCTGGTGGCTTACTAACCCAAAGGCTTGTGGTTCAAGCCCACTAGCTGCTACACAAGAGAAAGAAGGGCAGTCCTCTTTCATGTGATATACTGCCTTTTCAAATACACCAGTGGATCAGCTACGAGTCAGTACTGAATAAAATGTCATGAGTTATTGAACCCATTCTTTGAGAGAAAGATTTATAGCCCATAAAGATTTACAACCTTGGAGGAGATGTTATGAATTGGACTTGACAAGAGAACATCATGATTTAGAATTAAGAAAGAGATACATCAGGGTCATATCCTATTCAATCTGTATGCTAAGCAAATTACTCAAGAATATGGATTCTGTGAAGAATGTGACATTAGGATTGGAGAAAGACTCATCCATAACCTTTGTTATTCAGATGATACAACCTTGTTGCTGAAAGTGAGAACTTGAAGCACTTGCTCAAGATCATACACTCAAGATCATACACTGCAGCTTTCAGTATAGATTGCATCTCGACATCAAGAAAACAAAAATTCTCACCACTGGACCAATAGACAACATCTGATAGATGAAGAAAAGATTAAGATTGTCAATGACTTCATCTTACTTGGATCCACAATAAATACACATGATACCAGTGGTCTAGAGATCAGGAGATATATTGCACTGGGAAACTCTGCAGTTAGGGATGTCTCCAAATTATTAAAGAGCACTGATACTAGTTTGAGGATTAAAGGGTGCCTGATTCAGACCACAATCTTTTCAATCACTTGCTGTACTACTGAGAGCTGGACAATGAATAAGTATGACAGAGAACTGATGCCTTTTAACTGTAGTGTTGGAGAAGAGTACTGAATATTCTATGGACTGCCAAAAGAGCAAACATTTTTCTTGGAGAAAGTGCAACCAGAGTGCTCCATGGAAGCAAGAATGGTAAAACTTCATCTCACATACTTAAGCGTGTTGCTAGGAGAGGCTGTTCCTTGGGAAGGTGGACAGATGGATGGTGAAGGACAGGAAGACCCTCAACTAGGGAAGATTGACACAGTGACCACAGCAATGCGTTTGAGTGTCAGATTGTGAGGATGTCAAGACATGGTTCAGATCTGTTGTTCATAGGGCCACTAGGAATTATACTCAAGTCCATGACATCTAATAACAACAGCAAGACCTCAGGTTAGGGTTAGTTGGTGATTTAAATCCACTATCCATTGTTGAAACTGAGGAATACCTGAAGCTCTTGCTGAAGAATGTCAAGGACTGCAGCCTTCAATATGGTTTGAAGCTCAACATTAAGAAAACAGAGATTCTCACCACTGGGCCAAATGACAGCATAATTATGAATGGTGAAGAGATTGAGATTATTAACAGTTTTAGTTTGCTTGGCTCCATGATAAACCTTCTTGGTACCAGTAACCAGGAAATCAAGGGACAAGTTGTATTGGGAAAGTCGGCTGTCGGGGACCTCTCCAGAATACTGAAAGAGCAGTGTTATCAGTCTGGAGACTTAAGGGGCACCTGATCCAGGCCATAGTCTTCCCAGTTGCTTACTATGTGTCAGAGAGCTGGACAATGACTAGGAATAATGGAAAATTGATGCCTTTGAGCTGTGATGCTGGAGAGGAATGTTGAATATAACATGGACTGCCAGGAGAACTAATAGGTTCGTCCTTGAGAAGGTGTAACAAGGCTGCTTCTTAGAGGCAAGGATACTGAAGCTTCATCTGACATACTTTGGACATGTTACAAGGAGAGACTGGTCCTTGGAGAGGGACATCATGCTTGGGAGGGTGGAAGGGCAGTGCAGGAGAAGAAGACCCTCGATGAGATAGATTGATTCAGTCACTGGGGCAGTGGGGTAGATGTGTCAGAGACAATAAGGGTGGCACAGGATAGAGCAGGGTTTAGGGCTCTTGTACATAGGGTCACTATGAGTCATTAGTGACTGACTCGACGGCACATAACAACAACATCCATTCTTCAGGGAACTTTGCTCCTACTGCTAAGAAACAGTGCTGGAATCTCAAAGACACACAATTCAAATCACTAACTGTTCTGCAGGGAAAGGATTGGCAGTCTCCTACCAAGTGCTTTACTTTTTTTTTTTTTGTTATGTGCTGTTGACTTGCCTGCCACCCTATGTACAGTAACTGAACCCTACCCTGTTCTGAGCCAGTCTTACTAATTCTGACATGACAACACCCCCAATGCCCCTGTTACTGTGTCAATTCATCTCATCTGGAGTCTTCAATGGTATACAAAAACACCAACAGGTAGCAGTGTACTTTATAGATGATAGATCTAGATAGATA